CTCCTGTGATTGGGAATGTATTTTACTTCTGTAAAATGTTCCTCCTTTTCTTCTGTTTGTGGTACATTTCTTAAAACCATTTCAGTCTGCTGTTTCAGATCTAAATGAAAACATCAAGAGAAACTCTCAATCTCTTCAACAGTTCAGTCTTGACTCCTATTTAGAAATAACCTGGTTATTTTCATAGCATATTTTAATTGTCTGGAGTTATGAGGGGAGTTTCTGGTTTAAGATTTCTGTCTCAAAAGCAGACAAAAGGATCAGGATTCTTGTTTGAAAATGCTCTTTTTACATTAATGTCCCACACAGGAAGCCTTCATCCAGACAGTCACTCTGTAAACTCAGTAGGTTATTTTTCTCATAGCTGAGTTTTCTCAGGCTAACAGAGTGTGCAGTTATACCACCACAGATGCTCGTACAGGTTTCACATGCATTGCAATTAAAAATTTTGTTGAGATTATTATAATCAGGAATAGATTTTTCCTTTAAATGCTGTAGAGGATCTGGGGACTGGATCAACACATAAAGAAAAAGYCTTTGCCTGCCCTATATAAGGATGCAAATATTAAACCCATGGGAATACTGTCACATGGATTGTCATATCTTGTGAAAGAAGAGTTCAAGTCTGCATCTAAAATAATTTTGACAGAGCTTCAGGATTTTTCCAACTTTTTAAATCATTTGCATAAAAACCTAAAGTGCTTCCTTTAGCAACCAGCCTGAAAACTATTTGTCAAACATAACTCTTGGGTGATTCCAACTCCTCCTTTATGTAATCATATGCAAAAGTAATGTTTACTATAAAATCAGACCAGTTGTGGTCATGGGTTTTGCGAAGTCATAATGGTGGCACCCATGTGTGCTGTGAAATTACCAGGGTCACATATTTTCCCAAGAGATCTACCAGCAGTGAGTTCATTCAGAGCTTCTGAATCCACAGRTTTTTGAAGATCTTGTCAAGCTCCTTCTTCATAAGGCCTTTCCATTTGAAGCAGAACAGAGTCATTCTGAAATACCATAATGCCAAGCTGTGTAATTAAGATTTGCCCTTGCTGTGCCAAAGCACCAAAAAAATCAGTGGAATCCCGGGTGTTTGACYTCAGGTAAAGAAAGTTGCACCATGTAAAAAGACTGGAAGAGTGAATCTTTTTAGAACCAAAGGGTTTGGAATTTTAAAGCTAGCAGATCCTGGAAAAAAGAGAGGAAAAAGATTTTGCAAAGAGTTAGTTGTGCCATTTCCCTGGTATCCCCCTGCCTCACAGTGTACAGAGCATTCCCCACTCCAGAACGGCTGGAACAGCAGGACACGATGGTCAGGTTGGTCCTTTGTTGAGGTATCATCCTGGATGCTTGATAAGCAATGCTGCTCCCAGATCACATTACCTGCTGTGCAATTCTCCTCATAACTGCTCATAATCTTTCATCAGAGTTTAACCAAAAAAAAATTCAACAAAAGTCTGGAAACAGTCAGCCATCTCTACATGCAAAATAGGTGAACCCCTCTTGCTGATTATTCTTTTACTTTCAGTACTTCAAAATCCTCTGACAGGTATTTTATCCTGTGTGGTCACTGTTTATTTGTAGAGTTTTCYGCCCACAGCTCACCTCCCTCTAATCCCAGTAGCCTTTTCTCTCCAAATTGCTTCTCTGCCATTTAGCACCAATTTTTCTATCTGAACCACACACAAGTTACACAGTTCCCAATTTTTTCGAGCCTGCTGAYACCTCAACCTCTTAGCATGTCTTTACTTCAAAGAAAAATTTCTGTGAATTCTTAACATTCAATTTACAACATATATTTGTAACAACACCCTGTGAAAAAGAAAACAAAGTCATTGCTACATGATAATTAAATGTGTTAAGAAATACTTAAATTCCTCTTTTAATGTGAACATACTGGAGGTATTGTTGTTATGATGGCTTAAAATTCATTGTTAAATAYGCTTCTATAACAAACATGACAATTGCATCTTGGCAGCCCTGTCATATTATATAAAATAATTCTAATAGCTTTTTCAGAAAACCATTCGCAAAAGCTCACTGCCCTTTCAAAGTGAAATTTCAGATGGCTCCTCTACACAAACCATTCATTTCCTTGACATTTCAACTACATTTGACATTATCTTTAGCTTTTCATCTGGACCCATGACAATGAACAGCTCAGCTTTCCTTGAAATATCTGCTTCACAAGAGATTACATCTTGGATAAACCTGTTACTTTAGGCAGATCAGTGTTCTGCAATATTAATAAAATATTGATAAGACTTACCTGATTAGTAAGGAGCCTTGAAGCAACTTGGAGCCAAGCCCCGTGCATATAGAATGATGTGTATATAAGAATTGAGTTCAGAGTCGGGCTTAAATAGGATTTTCAAAAGATCTGAACTGTGTTTTGTTAAGAGTACTAATGTCATTGGGGCTTTTGGTTCTAAGTCTTACTGGTGCTTTTAAAATCTTTCTGTCATTGTTCTAGGCTATATGAAATACTTGCATTTGAGTCCAAATGTGATAAAAATTCCAGTTTTTAGCATAGATGTAATTCCTAAGCTCCTGTGTCTCATAGCCACAGGTACCAATATCAACACTTGTGGTGAAAAGACAAAGCTGCTGAAAATCCCCTCATTAAGGAATATTCTTTTGGTGATGAGGTAAACAAGTACAGAAGTGTGATTRTAATTTACAGATGTGCCTTACAGGAGGAGACTAAGCAAAAATATGGCAGGCAATATCAGGCTGATTGGATTTTTGTGTCTCTCACAGCAGGACTTACCTTTGGTGGGCATCTTTATTCCAAGTACATTCTGGTGTCTTAAATTCTACCTGAAATAGTGTGTGCAGATTGAACTTGGAAAGAGGGGGAGAAAGGAGGGAGGAAAGGGAAGGGGGAAGGGGAGAGGAAGGGGAGGGAGGAGATTTCATGTTAACAGGACAGGATAGGGAATAGGCTTTCCCCAAAAATATACTGGCAACCTGGACATGGAAGTGAAACAAAAAAACAGCAGCCAAACCAAAGAAAAGTCGCAAACAGGCAGAGAGGAAAGGGACAAGTTTAATGATAGAAGAAAWGTACAGATATTGACAGTGGAAAACAGGTAGAAAGGAGATCTCCAAAGGACTAAAATATTGCTACTTTGTATTTGCACATAAATTCAGTATAAATACTTCTTGAGTTTTCCAATTCCCCCCTCCCCCCACACCCCTTCCAATTTCTTATAATTTTTTTGAATTTTAAGGGGGAGATAGACCCCTTGGTTATTTTCTTCTATTTCAGTCAGTATGCCAATCTAAAATTTGAAGAGGAGAGTAGAATTTTGGAGGTCCAAAATTCAGAGGAGTGTTTTTTATTGGCTTGATTAGAGCTTGATTTCAGCCTGCTTTCTGCACGTGCAACCAAATGCATTCTTCTCRCCTTTGATTGCACTTTGAGTTACCATGTCGGGACCAAACTACGGAGATTTTGTTCATACTTAGGAATGTTTTCTTCGTCAAGATAGATATTTCTACAAACCCTGCTATGATAGAAAAGGTCCATAATTTGGTCTTTAACTAGCTGAATGATAATTTAAACAAATATATCAACAGATTCTGCTGCCTTTTTTCACAGCATGATGTTTTAATCCTTAGCTTCACACCTGGGATGGATTTTGATACCCTTACTTGTGAGAAACAGCACCTTGTTTCAGCCCTAGCACCACTGATGCTGATGGAAGCCATGCTAAACTATTCAAACAAGCCCCTTGATTTCAGCAAGGCTCYGTAGTCACTGCAGAGAATAAAGCACATTTCAAGACCACAGGCTCTTAAGAATTTTCCACAGTAGCAGTATTTCAATCCTCAGTCCTCAGTACAAGTAAAAGATAAAAGTATAAGACCAGAGTAAAAAGAATTAAAGTGGGAAGAAGCACTGTCAAGGCCSAAGTGAAAATAATAAAATGTGTACAAGAGACCAGTAGGAAGACATGGTCATAATCATGATTTACTGTTAATTTCTGTGGCACAGAGTGCTCTGGGAGCAAGAATCAGCACTCTACTCTATAGGCAGCCCTCCAGTTCTTAGGCACTGTGCTTTCTCAAGAAACTGATGTATTACATTGCAGCTGCAAAACCCAGCTCATCTCTATGACTGCTCAGTAATTTTGAATTACAGGTTTCTCTCACACTTGCTGGGTTCAAGGCAAACTCTAGCTAAAATTAGGCTTGCACCTGGGATGTGAAATTTCCCCAAAATGGGAAATTTTAACCATTTGTCCAGCTATCTTTCCACCTCTTTTTAGTCTTCATAACACTCCAGCATCTCTTATAGCACATTCTCTGTGAAATCACAGAGGCAATTGATGATTTTGGATCACAGCTGATCCACATAGCTTACAAGCTAAGCCCCTGGCTGATCAATCAGATTCCTGTGGAAGGACCTTTAGGCCAGGACAGATTCTGGGTGAATTCTGTGGGGCTCTGTGCAGGCCAAAGGTCTATCCAGTTGTATTCTGCTGGTGATCAGTCAGAGTCTAATACTGCATCTATTTTATGCTATGTYAATAATACATATTGCTAGTAGTTAATAAGGCACTTCTTTAAAAAAACCCATCAAAGTCCCCAAATCCCTCAGCAATTAGAACACAGTTGGGGAGAGGGACAGAAAGAAAGCTGTTCTCTATTAATCTGACRCATCAGGAATATTGCTTACTGTTTCTGTTGTTGTAGTCCTAAAGCAAAAACCTAGTGTCCTGCTCACTTCATGCAATGGTACCTCTTCATTTCAGGATGTCATGTCTMTAAAGCACCCRATAAAATGCATAAATGTGCTAAAATCTTTATCTATTTTGATTCCTTTAAAAAGTTCAACTATTTTGGACCCAGATTTGAGGTGATACATCTGACATTCTTAAGTAGGCTAAGGAATACCGCTGGCACAGTCTGTGTGCCGGGTGACCACTGCAAGCAAAACGGACACTAAGTTTCAGCTACCAGGTTTACTCTCGAATAACCGATGGCTTCCACACCTGTGCAGTGACGCCAGCTTTCTTGGCTGAAAATTTTGGCCTCGGAGCAGTAAACAAAGAGGACGTGGTGGTTTCTGGCTTAGAAAATGCCGAGTAGCCTGTGGGTGAATACGATTCGTTTCCTGGGAGAGAGGCGTTTGATGGGAACGARGGTTGGGAACCGTAGGCTGGCACGGAGTACACTGAAGAAGGCCGGGCTCTTGTAGGAGAGCCAGCACCAGGGGGAAGGTAGCTGGGTAAAGGCAGTGTTTGCTTTGAGGAGGACAKCTTCGATGTCTGCTTCATGGCAAGGCTTTCCTTGGGAGGCTGGAAAGTAAATAACGATGGATCGAGTTGATAAGGTTGATGTTTCATAATATCCAAAGCATTGAGGCCTTTCTTAGGTTTTCTTTTTGTGTTTTTGGTAGCAGCAGCRGCCTTAGAGGAAGGCTTGGTAGCAGCAGGAGGGTAAGACGGGCAGTGGATGGGATTATAAGCAACAGGTGGAGGTGCTCGGACATTCGATGAATATTTCCAAGAAGCTGGTAAAGATGGAGTTGGAGATGAGGCTCGTGCCATGTTTGCCTGCACAGTCTCTGAATCCACCACGTACTTCTCCATTCGGGAATGCCTCCTGGCAAACAGTTGTGCTCCTTTCCCACTCATAGCCGGCGGCATCTCRAAGGGAGGCTTTGTTTCTCCAGCACTTGGGGTGACTGGTGTTGACTTGGGGGCAAGATTCGGACTCGCCAGGCTGGCCTGAGGCCCTTTGAAAGGACCAGCAAGGTCAAGAGTGCTTGGGGGATGGATGGGAGAATGAGGRTACTGTGGGGATTTGGGCGGTGCAGGATACGCTGCCTGAGGTGACGCTGGTGCTGGGAAAGAAGGAGGCTTGTTAGCAGCTGCAGCTGAAGGTGACCAGACTGGTGAAACTGGAGTACCAGCAGAAGGAGACACCTTGAGTGAAGGCTTTGGAGCAACGGGAGGAGGGGCCTTTTGTTTAGCTGCTTGAGGCTGCATGAAATTGCAAGCTTCTGCTCCCAAACTGAGGTAGTCTTCTTCGGGTCCTGACTCAAAACCAGCTCCAGYACCTTTTTTGCCCTCTGCATTGTGTACAAGGGACAGCAGGGCAGGATTAGGATTGAYTTTGGGTGCATCTTTGAAATTGAACATAGGTTTGGAAGTGCTTCTTCTCTTCGCCTCTTGCAGTATCCCAGTTCTTTTGGCTGGCACGGCGATCCTTTCGTCCCTGGACGCGATGTGTTCTGTGGGCTCGCTGGYTGCCCACGCGGCCGGGGCAGCTTTGTTGGCCACAGGAGCTGAGACGGGTCTGTAGAAAGCCTCGGCTGGTGGGCTGACAGAGCAGTAAGGAGGTGGTGCTGCTGCATCTGAAAGGGGACTGGTAACATTTCTCACAGGTGAAAATGGTGCAGCTGCTCGGTTTTGAACYCCAGAAGTGAAGGGTTTTGCTGTTTTATTCAAAGATGCTGCTTTTTGAGCTCCAGAGGACTGAAAAGAGAGGTTTGTGCTTGGTGCTAGGCCAAAGCCATTTTGTTGTACCATTTTGCTGTGATTCTGGCTCACGTCTGTGTAGCTTTTGCTCACACAGGTCTGCTGTCTTGACATTTCCTCCTCTTTTGATTGATAGACTGAAGTGCTCACTTGCTGGAAGTTCTCTGTCGTGGTGGTTTCCCTGTGCTCCTCTGTCTGCACTGTGCTTGCCTTCATCTCCTCTTGCTCCGCTGTAATCTGATCCATCCTCTGCCGTCTCTTGGCAAACATGAGGGCCCCTTTGCCTGTGCTGTCTGCAAGYGTCTGCATCTCCTCTCCACTTTTTGTCTTCTTTTCCACCTCGAGCAGACCACTGTCCCAGTCAAACGTCACGATCTTGCCGTCCTTGTCAATATCAGAAAAAAAATCTTCATCTAATTCCGACTCGCTTGTTGCAAGCAAACTCACCTCGAAAGTGTTTTCCTTGTCCCCCTCTTCACCTTCACCCTCTTCACCTTCGTCCTCGTAACGTTCTAACTCCCCAGTCCCGTAGCTGACTAAAGTGTATTTCCTCGCCCTTTGGCGGCGCTTCTTGAACATCAACACCCCCTTGGAATTGGGGTTGGGAGCTGCCGTCAGCAGCAGTGCAATACTTTTACATTTAGATTTGGCTTCTTTGACCTGCTTCTCCGACAGGCTCTCGCTTCGTCGGAGCCCTGTGGAAAGAATCAAAGTGCACATTTAATTTCACGCAGCCTGCAAAATTACAAGGAGACTAACAAGTGAATTTTCCTATACTGAAATTTACCCCTTTTCCCATATTAAAACATTTGTTTTGTATGGAAAGTTCATTATACTCTGGTTTTTCTCACAGTATCGGCTGCGTTGCAAATTCCATACTCGGCGCTCCTTAGACTCACACCCATGCAAGTTCAAAGGCAATACCACTTTCTTTAGGACTCTCTTAGTTTGACAAGAACATTATATGYGACTATTTCAAGCATTCTTAATTTTTATTCCCAGCACTAACAGGCAGGTGATATTTCCTCATTTATTCGTTTTCTGGTCTGGTATTTTCCAAGTATTTGGCCGTAGTTCCTAGGCTTACAGCAGCCATTCCCAGCCAGCCAGGCCCATGATTGTTTAATATGTGAGGTCAAATGAAACTGAGCATATTCTTTTGGGCAGTGGTAGCAGCTTCTGCCATTTATGGRTTTATTTTATCCTTATAAAATTGTGAATTTACTAAAAGTCAGTATGCTGCTATGTATTTGCTATTTGAAAGCACGCATCCATCAAAAAAGGCTTACACAGAAAATATTAGGATTATCTTACAGCTTGGAAGATGGAGGAGTTTGGTCATGATACTCAATGAAAGMAGGTTTCAGTCTTTTAACAAGTGTTACTTGCCTGAAATATAATCCAAAGCTCTGTAAGGTGCAACAGCTATGAAATGTTTATTTTGGAAATGTGGCAAGAGTGAATACACATTTAAGGCCCGGATCAAGGAAACTCAACTAACTTCCCAAGTGTATTCACTATAGTATCAATGACAATATTTCTGAAAGTATAAACTGCTGGTTACGTGGAAGAGGARCAGAGGCAGCTGTAAATCTGATGGGTGCCCTGGACACCAGTGTGACTGCTTCCTTGTTGTGGGACATGGAGCATGTGCCTTATGGGGCAGCTCTAGTCAGGTGGTGTCCCTGTTGCTTTTTCTTCCTCATACTCTACCACTGAATCTCATGAATGACAGCCTCATAGTTCCTCCCTTCAAAAATTCTGCAATTTAAAGCTATTCCTGGCTAAATCAAGTCCCTTCCACTTGGTTTCTCAAGAAAAGACATGTCTCTGATATAAGAAAATAGARCAGTAAATTATTTAGTATCTTATGCTAGCATAAATTAAACAAACTTATTAAAGAAAGCCATGCCATGTTTTTTCTAGTCATGATCCTTTTAGCCATGTCAGTAGATGGAGTCTGATACTTCTCCTATTAAAGACAATTGGAGTTTTGCCATTATGCCAAATGACAGCACAGCTGGACCAATGGTTCTCACAAGAATTTATAAAAGAGAAAAGAACATGGCATCCCAACCAGCCATTTGTAATATTTTATTGTTGGAGAGCCAAGTCACAAAATTCTTAGCTCAGTCCTTTGACAGTCCGATTCCTCACAATATTCACTGAAGGTATTTTCCACACCTATGGGTTTTAGAGTGCTACTTGTTCAGGTAAATATTATCTGATCGTTATTTACTGAGAAAATTTCTGTTAAAGAACTCAAGCATCTACAAGAAAAGTGATTCTCTAGTTTAAACTTAAATATTGCATTATAACTTTTATTTTTTCAGAAAACATGCACAGTATTTGCTGCACACAGAGCCTTCCCTCTGCTTGGCAATTTGTTTGTTCTAATGTGCAGATAGGATTTTAATAATAATAATATTAAATAATAAKAATGTAAAAAATKGTATAKATTAAATCAGYGGTTCCTACAGATAAWGRCCTGCCAGTKATTTAGAAGAGACTGAGATTTTCATAGTTGACACAGAAAAAGGACAAAACTTGTGTTGTACTTGAGAGAAGAGTTTGAAATGTAAAGAGTGCTTAATTCTTTATACTTTTGCCTTTTCAGACAGGCACTGCAWGTAATTCTCTAAGAAATGCAGACACAGTCCCACAGTTGGTTGTGACTTCGCAGCCAAAATCCRAAGCATGTGCACTTTTCTTTAATACTTCATTTAATATGCCCAAAATATGYGGGTTGCATACAGACACTTCAGCATAAGTAACTGCCTAATCCATTTGCCAATGAGACACAAATGGTTATCATGCTAAAAATATGCATCCAGAGGAATTAGCAGTGGGTTAGCAGGGGAGTTCCAACACTGCATATGAAATAGTTTGTTGYTACAGTATCTCACTGCACACATTCAAGCACCTTTGACATACTGCTACTAAATCCCCAGACAGGATTCTTCACATTGTTGGGAAGGAGCAAGCAACCAATAGAAAGGTCCCAGAGRAATAAAATAACAAAGAAATAAATAGATTAATTAATAAATAATACACGTCTGCACCCAGTTAATCGATATTGGCTCCAGTGTCAAGTTTGCTTCCATGTAAAGTTCTTGGGCACATTTTGAAGCTGACCTCTGGGTYTGGGAGTCAGGAGAAATAACATGTTCACTTTACAGTCTCGAGAAGGCTGACAAAACCAAAAGGATCATGTAACAGTTATACACATGCTAGTGTCTGTCAAAATCTCTTCTGCAGACAACATCAAGCTTTGCTGCTAGCCTTTTTTATTAACTTTTCAAAGCAGTGGCATGGCTTTGGTTTTGGATGATGCAAATGACAACGCAAAGCCTTTGCTATAAAAGGAGAAATCCACAGGATTCACTTAGACATGTGCAAGCAACTTGCTCTTTTTGTTAATATTCTGCAGATTGCCTATGAGCAGGCGTTAGAAGACCAGCTGAATTCAGCCCTTTCTGGAGATGTGAGTATTTTTAGTTGGACAAAGCCATGAGTTAATTTCAAAGTGGAAGTCTACTAAGCAAAGTTATTCAGCACAGTTAAGGCATGGGTACACTCTTGGCTCATCACCAGGAGCATTGCATTACCCTGAAAAAATACACAAAGCAAGAACAGAAACTTAGTTTAAAAGAATAAGAGAGAGGGAAAGTTAGAAAACTGCAGAAAAAAAATCTCAAAACATTTTTTGTCTAATGCATTCTAAATACTAAAATTGTATCTAAAGCTCCTAAAGATGCCCTCAGGCAATGCAAATGATTAGATGGGATATACTCACTTGCGTGCCTTGCCCTGTGCTTGAGAGGTCTGTGATCCTTTTCTGAGTGCTTGCTGTCTTCTCCCTGCTCTGTGGCTTCTGATGAGATTGCAAAGGAGAGGAGGGAAGGAGGTGCTTCTGACTGCCCTCCTTCTACTTGAGAATCAACACACCCCCTTTCAGATGGAGACCTGGGCGCTTCCTGCTCCCTGTCTGAGCAGTCTAGGATCACCTCCACCCTGGGGATAGATGGAACTGCTCCTTGGATCCTCTTGACCTCTTTGCTGCTGGAAAACTGGACTACTTTGTTCGACCACTGGATGTTGCCYTCTTTCACAGCCAGGGGAACTGCGATGAGGGGGCTGCTCCCATCCTGTTGTGCATCGGGTCCTCTGCCTGAAGGGCAGCATTTTTCTGCCCCCAAGAGAGTCACAGCAGGAGCATTGGTGGCCTTGTGTGTGTCATTTGAGAGGGACAACTGCAGCTCAACCATAGCACCCGGCCTTTCTTCTGTCACCCCTCTGAAAGCAGTCTCATCTGTCACGATCACCTTGGGGGTGCCTATCACTTTAGGAGTAATTCTGTGGCTTTGCGTGGTGTCTTGTTTTGTTTCGGAAAAGTGTGWGTTGCTTTCTCCTGCTCCGTGGTGGGTCCCGCTGTAAATCTCTGTGATACATAAATCTCCATGGGGTATCTCCTGCRCTGTGTTCATTTGCAGTGTGGTGTTCTCCCTATAGTCCTCATTCCTTATGTTCTCGTGCTTCCCATTTTCTCTTTCAGCACTGAAGGTTTCATTTATTCCACCGGAGGATCTGCACATACATAAACCATTCCAGAAATTAAGCTGCTGTAAGCACAGCCATGGTAAATAGAGAATTACAAAAGCAATCTYTGTACATTATTTCCCCATCCCAGTTTATTGTGCTGCCTTCTAGCAGGTCCATTTAAACAGAAGAATTTTCCCAGAATGCAGAGGTCTTAAATAGACGCATCTTTTTATCTTTCAAAATTCTTCAACTTAACAGTTCAGTAAGAGGGAAATTACAGGACAGTGGCAGAACTATGACCCCACTACTATCATGAAATKTAGAATTGCATCATTCTCAACATCAGTGTGCTTTCAGAGACACATTTCTGTTACAGGGTTTCTAGACAAATGCGGCTGAGACTTTTGGGATGATACTTCCTCATATTTCACGTGTCCATGAAAAAATTAACTTTTCATGACATCAAAGGAGTGGTTAACTTTTGGTTCTGTGGCCACTACTGCAACTGTTTTAGGCACTGTGCTTGTATGTGGTTCCTGTCCCAAATCATTCACTCTCTAAGAAACAGAGAAGTACTAGATAAGGATTAGAGGGAGGGAAATGAAACTTGAAATACACATTCAAAGAATTTCTGTGAGGATCATCATCCTTATGTATCATGGATTAATTTAAATATTTTGGGCCTATTCCACTGATCCAGCATAAAAGGATAGTGAACCTATACAATATATCCTAGTTATTTAAAAATATATTATTTCTAGCTGAAAAATGTTATTTTTGCKTGTGAAACCTACAATATATCTCAGTGTAGCTCCTTTTCTAAACTATTAATTCCCCTGGCTCAGTTAGGCTGTTTCACTGGCGTTAGGACACCTGGTATCCTCTTTAGGTCCTTCTTTCTGTACTCTTGACCATACTATTAACTTAATTTTGAGAAGAAACCTTCTCTGTACAGCAAGACTCCAGCATGTTATTAAGAGTTTCTACTTGCTAGAAGGTAGCAAAACACATTCTCAAAAGAGGGAAGTGGTAGATGTCCTCAGTAAAGTATTAGTATCGAGTCTATGGAGATTTTTGAAACCAAAAGCAGCCATGGCTATTCTGAAACTTTGGAACCCCCTAGAGATAAAGGTTGGAAGAAGCAACAGAGAAATAAATCTGTCAGTGCACTGAAGAAACTTTAAAATCACTTGCTTTTTAAGCACGCAGCTTACTGCTTGTGGCTGTCTGGGTCTGCCTCAAATAGCACGAATGTGTAACATCCATTTCACCACATATGGGGCTTYGTAAAGGTCAGACAGATTTTAATTTAGGGAGCTCCTTGGGAGTGCTGCTGGATCTCATCAGCTGAGGCTATTTGGATGATCAATTGCACTGCTCTCAGGCACAGATAAATTACAGAAATCTGTAAACATTTCCTTGTAAGATATGGACTGGGGGCCGGGCCAGCTACATGTTAGCCTTTATTGGTAGCTGAGTGATTGTGTGTATGTGTGGCAGAGAAAGATTTCCACCTTAAAAGGCCCTTGCTACRTATGGATATACTTCTACTCTATATAGACATAAATGTCTATCCTCTGTCAAAAGGCAGAGTACTGGGTATTATTTCTTTTTTGTCGTTTTGTCAAATTCTTATTTTTGTTTCAGGCCTTYCCAGCTCACTGCAGTAACAACACCCGTGGTGTGATTCCGGGAAGGAAGCAGAGCTCCTGGAGTCAGCACGGCAGGGTTTGTTGCAGGCTCATGTTTTACTCCCTACATGGAGCATTTCATGTTGGCATGCACTGAGCACACTCCCTTCTTCCCGCTAGAAATGTTCTCTCCAGACTCAGCAGTAGCCCAGGAGCTGCTAACACTGATGTGAGAAGGGCAGGCTGGAGTTTCGGTGTCTGTCCCCTCTCTCCACGTTTCCCGATCCATCTGCTCAGCATTTGCTGAGAAGGTCAGTGAGATGCTCCCCTCCATGGCATCTGTGAGAGCCCRCCCTGCAGGGTGTCGCTTTCCTCTCATCCTGAAAACTGAGCATTTTCTGGACCCTGCTGCTGGTCACTAACTCACTGTGGCTTACAGGACACTGGGAAAACTTTTGGTAGACATCAAAGGCCAAGTAGCATTTTAAAAACTACTTTTAAAACCTAATTTTCCTCCCAGTAAGATTTGCAAGACCAGAATTAGGTCACCAATTAATGTCTGTGAAAATTCTATCCTTCATGCAAAAAAATTCAGGAAATCCAGGAGCTTTCCAATAGAAAAKATTTTTCCCTGCTAAGAAAAGATACTTAGATGTAAAGATCACCAGTGGAACTTTAATTATTCTTTTCTCATTATTTCCAGCATTTTTGTGAGGAGGCTGCTAACAAGTCACTGCTGAGGAGAGGAAGGATTTGCTTCTCATTGTTCTCAAAGGATGCTAAGACACCTCGTGAAAAATCCTTCTGGGAATAGTGCTGAGAGGGATAGTACCCACAAACCATGTGGGGAGGAAGAGAAATGTTTCAGTCTATTCTCCCATACCTGGAAAGGGTCTGGGATTTGGGAGAGATGAGCTGATGAGAAGAAATTTGAAGGTTCTCACRGTGAATTTGTTTAGAACATTTTAGTCATTTTCAGAGTGTTGAGCAACTACAATTTTCTTAAATTTCCAACAGACACCGTTTCATTCCATGAAACACTGAATTTTGTGGTCAAAACACTCTGTTTTGGTTCTGATTTTCAGGACATGCCTTGCTGTTCAAGCAGGGGCAATGGAGAGTCCCTTTCATCTGCATCATCCCGTGGCCTTCAGACAACTGAAATATCAGTTATAGAACAGCAACAGGCAGGAGTCAAAGTATGTGCAGCTATTTCCATGGCTGAAGAGAAGACAGCTGGTCAGCCACAAATACCATTCTTACAAGTGCCATTCCAATAGTCACATTATGAATTAAAAGCAGAAGAATGAAGTACAAGAGGAACCCTCAGCTGATACCCTGCTGAACCAGGAGCGAGGGCTGTGTGCTCTGGCAAAGGTAAGATATCATCAGCTACCTCAGCTGTGTCCTGGTCCTGTCACACTGATCCATTGCTCAGCCCCAAACATGTACAGACAGGCCATGCAAAACATCTGTCATAAATAAAATGAGCACTCCTTGAGAGCGTCCAGTTTTGAGGGCAGATTGTCACTTGGAACTATTAAGCACTTGAGGAATGCTCCTTTGTGCAGGTTACAGGAGCCACAAGGAATTTCACAGGCTCTGTAGACACCCCTGGTAACCAGAGACTGGTGCCTGTTTTCAGCCTCTCCAGGGACACTGCTCTGGTAGCTGTCATGATGAATCCTGATCCTTTCCTGGTCTGCCGGGGAAAGAGAGCTGCAGTAGCTCTGGGGGGAGCCTTAAGTCCTTACAAGGAGTGTGGGAGTTTCAAGTCTTTTCTTCCTCTTCTTACTGCCACTGAAGTCAGTTTAGAGTTCTTCCTGTCTGGATTCACAGTCTGGGGAGAATGTACTTTACTCTGAGTGTTTCTGGACTCAAGGTTGCAAATATTGCAAAAATTGCCACCAATTTTTTCGCAGAGCAGGCTCTGGAATAGACTGATGTTCAGTGAGCAGCACTGCTGGTCTGCTTGCAAGTTTGCATGAACTTTCTCTCATCTAAGAAACTCAAAGCATTTTCAAAGAAAACTGAAATTCGCTCTCACTATTTTACAAAGGCAGAAACTGAGACCCAGAGAGCTGTGACTTCCCCCACCTCATCTAGTGAGGTGATAACAGCTACAGAAATAGAATTCATGACTTCCAGACCCTCTCCTCCTCCTGACTAACACATTTTGCCACCCAAGAAGACCACTTGCCATGTCATCATTAAGCATATCTGTGTAACACAGYTTCTCCATCTATACAGCCTTTGTTTTTTGTAAGCCTCACTTCCCTATCTGTGGGGAATAACAACACTTCAGTGCATCAAAAGGGTGGAGAGGATAACTGAGCTCAAGGCTCTGCAGTTTGCATATATGGTAGTGGACACCTTGCAAGTATTAATACTTACATTTGGAGGCTGTACTGTTAATTCTGTGCCTGACCACTGCTGTTCAAATTATATATATTAATTCCTTTGGCTCAAATAATCCTTCTTCCCTCCGTTTTCTACCCAAGTAGGTTATAGACATTAAAAACAGGACTATCAGAWCCTTTCAGTATAAGTCTGCAAAATGAGTGTGTTCAAGGCCAGCATTTCCCAGGCAATTCACTGAATTGCACCAGAGCATCCTGAGCATTCCTGTACCTCTTGATAAGCATCTGCAGGACATCAGTCAGGCTTTCCATCAGAACGATGACTTCAGCATAGGTTAGGTCTCCACAAGGTTGGCCATTGATAGACACCACCTCATCSCCCTCACAGAGTCCAGCCTTGGCTGCTTTGCTTTTGCTGCGAACCTAGGAGTCAAAAACAAGTTCCAAATTGCACAATTAGTGTTCATTTGAAAACAGCAGCAACCGTGTCCTCAGCATATTTTTGTCTGTGCAAAAGGATCACTAATATTGATCATAAACAAATTTACAGTAAGAACAATTAATAATTTGTCTCAGTTGAGATTAATACTGTTCTGGCCARTAATAATACAAAACTTTCTGCTTTAATGAACTTGTGAGCTTGATGTCAAACAGGCTGGATTAATTTTTTTTTAAACTGGGAGACATAGAAGTATGGGACAGACTGCAATCAAGTGGTCACAGTTTAGCAGAAATACAAAAAGAAACCCCTCATTAGTTTCTCTGAAAATGAAGACTACTAAGAGCTGAAATCTGCATTGAGATTGTAAAAGAAGTGTATATAAACTCAGGCCTCTCTGGGCAGAATATCAATATCTACATGCTGGTCACTTTTTCCTTAGATTCCCAATGTAGTTTTAATCTCCAAACTGTAAACATCTGYATCCCTGGAGATCCTAAATCCATGTTTAGTCATGTGAGTAAGTGCCCTGATTTTTTAAAGTTAAAGCACAYCTGTTATGGTCTAACTTTCCCTGTTAAGTTCTCATTCAAGAATCCTCGGCAGCCAAGTTTTTGCTGTTTCTCTCCTTTTTTCACTGGCAGTGTGTTATAACCKAACACAATCTTTGTATAACAAAACCTAGACAGCTCCAACACTACTCAAGGTATGCCATACAGTTGAGTGCTATTTTTAAAGTACATATTTGGCAAAGAGTGTGTTATATTAACCAGGATACTTGCAGCAGTCTATTTTAGAACAAACATACGCATAAAAGGGCTGGCTTGGTTTCTTTCATCTCAATCTTCTACCTGTTGGTGTGAGTACTTTGGCCTTATACAATATTCAGTTGGTGATYCAATGTGTTATTGYTAATTCTCATAACATTTTCTTGAAWTTTTTTTAAGAAGTAGCATTTCTGCCACACTCACAGTAGCAGAGTCAGTCCATATCAGTCCATTCCTTCTGATACACTCCAAATGTGAGGATGGAACCACCCCATAGATTCATGGAATTGTCCCAAATAATCTGTTAAACCACAGGGCTGGTCCCTAAGATGCATTTCAGAAARGAATTTCTTTGGAGGCAGGATGATATGTGGCACAAAGAGTAAGACTGCATATTTTTCTGTGGCAGGGCCACCATATATATCTCTGCTATTTCAATTTACACATTCCCATATGTCATATTATGGCTCTTAGAGCACTGAGGGAACAGAAGCCAGTTTCTACCTTGCAGAATTAACATTTACAAATATGGAGTGGTATGCTGCTCTGTTTATCTGTCCTTAGACAAGAGCCTAAACATCCTCATGCCTTGGGAAGAAATGACAATTTGGACAGTGTTTAGAAGATTTTGCATCATATATGATCTAGGATTTGGGTTGCGATTTAGTTACTGCTTTTTTTTAAATAGAAGGGTATGCTATTGAAATTTTACAAAACATCCCAGGCCTGAATGTAAATAYTTGAATGAATGCCCTGAATGTAGATATCATGAAGAATTTTGAGTGACCATTTTTCAGCAAATCTATAAACACCCATTGTAGAAACCTGGGAACTCTAAAATAGCATAATTTCRTACATAGATTGTGGGAAGAAAACTGGTTTCTGTTTATTTATTTGGTTTTTGAGAGACTCCCTGGTAACATTCAAAAATAAAATTAAAAAAAAAAAAACAAGACAAGAGGACTGATTTTCCTTTCAAAGTTTTTAAAAGTTCTCTTAGTCCATTTTCCTGCCTTGTGAATTGTTGAGAGATCACAATTCCAAGGTATTTGGAACTTCATACAAAAAAAACTCAGCCTACCAAATTTGTCTCTATAAAATCACCTCAGTATTAACTTTTTTAATTTTTTTTTTTTAGTGTTTCTATTGGGGTAATAAAAGGAAAGAGAGAGAGCACCAAGATGAAAATGGGCAAGGGCAGGTTGTGTGGTAAATTATAGCAGGTTGCTACTTGGGTAGAATATCCCATCATCATTTTTAGCCTCAGCATAAAACCAGCTTACTCAACAGCACTTGGACTGCTTTGCCAGGCAAGCTGTAATTGTTTCTGGTTTTGTTTATTTGCCTTCACTGAAACCCACAAAAATAAATAAATAGTTTACTTATGTAAACCAAAACTGTTCAGATTTCTGGGAAAAATAATAAAAATGAATAAATAATAAATAAAGAAGACCCACCCAGAACAACAACAACAAAATCCCAAGAAGATTCCTGGAAAGAAAGATCTTCCTAGTAAAATATGTGTTCAGTGGACAGTTTTCTCTCAAAGGAGGTTTTGRCAATAAGTTTTTGAAGAGCCCACTGGGAAACAAATACTGCCTTTGGCAGCAGAAAAACAACTTGGTCACAGAGGGGACAGTAAGAAACCTTCATCCAGTTCTTGGGAACTTAAATCAAGGCATATTTGGTTGTAAAGCAGAAGGGATTCTTAYAAAACCAGTGATTGCTCTTGCTTCATTATGCAGCTTTGGTTTCTCAGGTACTTTTTTCTCCTACGCACTTGGAATTTTCCTTAGGAGGAAAAAGTGGGTTTTCCCATAAAATTTTTGAGTAGGATCTCACTACAAGAAAAGCATTAAAACCAGTGGTGTTCCACTGGTTAAAAATAYTTTTGTAATGTTTGTAATGTTTTGAAATATGTTYGTAAATATTWYCTTAGTTTTTAAATGCCTGCAGTACAGTATAACATAGCAAACCTGAGCTGGTGCTGTTAGTGCTGAGCCTGTCAAGACACCAGCCTTGAAGGGCTCCATCCCATTTTCCCCTGGTGTTGCCTGTATTGCTTTCCTGCTCCGCCTCAGTCAGAAATTCCTATTATTCAATGGACCTGAAAGCAGTCCAGTTTGTACAACCCAAAACTGTTCCATGCTATGAAACGTGGTAAATCAAGAATAACAGGGAAATTTCCTTCCAAAAATTGTATCCCTATGAAGCTAAAAAGCTGGAGTAGAAGCACCTGTTACTTGTTGTGGCTGCAAGTGGATGCACAGACAGCAACTGGGGCTCAGCTGACTGGCTGATGATTTTGGGTGCATGTCTGAGCCCTATAATAAGCAGATCAGAGTTATATTGAACCTGGTAACAAGGTCAGTGAGTTGTGGTTTAAAGTGAGGCAAATGGACTTGAGGACACTCTGTAGTCCAGCTTTTCTATTGCACAAGAAAGAATTATTAGGATATTTCATTCTCTTGCTTTTACCACTGACTTTTGGGAAGGGTGATGTCCATCTTAATCTTATCCTGGAGTTTATTCTGCAGCCAAGAGTACACACATGAATCTGGGAGGTGTGTCTGAGTGCTGTGTGTCACATGTAGCCTRACTGAGTAACCAGTCTGAGAAAATGAGCAATATGAGCATAAGCACAATCCATTTAGCCTAAAATTTTATCTAATCAAATAAGACTTAGGTAGCTTTAAAATATAAACATATTTGGACAGCAAGATTCTGAATTTAAAGCAAGCTTTCCAAACCATGAGTTATTTTCAGAACTATTCACTGATCCTTTTTCAGTGTGYCAGCAGCTTTTTATCAACAGAACAGGAAACCTTGCCATTGGATGCACTGGAAATATTCTTCCCTGCCATTTCAGTGTCCTTGCTCATACAGACACAGTAATTTCTCTCATGGAGGGGTTGCCTCTGGAAGAGCCTATTCAGCTGAATATCCTGTCTSAYTCCTGAAGCCTCATTTGAACTGTTGTTGGCCCTCAAGGGCCTAAGCTGGTTCCTGTGRACCTTATTTACATGTGTGTCCTTAGTTTTAGTYTTGGGTCTTTRGTGGCTGGCCTAGTGYTTTGCTCTGATGAAATATKTTGCCCAAAATAGCAAGGCTTACCAGGCAGAAGGGGCTTCTGTAGGTCAGTTGTCCATCCTCATTATTGTTTACTACTTCAGTTATGTCAACTGCAAACTTTACCAGCAGGGTCTTTGTGTTCTCTTTTAAAATAGTGATTAAGCATTAATAACAAAGGGCATGTCCTTTGACTGATGTTATGCCCTTATTGAATAGCGATTTCCAAATTGATGTTACCTTCTTAGACCCAACAGCTATCCTGCTTTTAAAGCAGTAATTTTTAGTACAATAGCAAACTGCCCTTTGATGTCTTGCCATCATCATCAATGCAGAGCTGTGTTTAAGAAATTCCTATTAAATAGCCCTTTTGGAAATAATTGTTAACCTAAATCTTGGGCCTACAACCCTTATTCTGTATAGTCACTCCAGTCTCATCATTAACCAATAGAGAGACATCGTTTAAATGTGCCTAGTGTTGAGATTTGTTAAATTGCTCTGTTGTATTGCCAGATATGAAATGGTAACGAAGCAGAGAAAAGAGGTGTCAGTATGCAGGAAAGCAGGAGTGGGGAGACAMTGCTTCTTCTTTTGTTGTGCATACAAATATTAAAGCAGAAGGTGTTTGATGCACTCCTTTCAAAAGTAGTATTTTCCCTAAAAGAAACAACCTACACTTCTAACATCTGATACCCTGAATACAGTTCCAACGTTTTTAAATTTTTTTAATACAGTCAGATACCTTAACTTTGACAGAAAGTATAATTAAAYTAAAAACCCAAATTAAATGGATTATGTCTCAAAATAACAATGAAGTCAACTCACTTGAATATGACCTAGTCCTGGCCATAAAAGAGGTTGTGATTCAAAGTGATTGGAAAGACAGAAGTGAAGAACTGATCCAAAATCAAAGTAATTAAAGGAAGTTTTACTCTGCTTTCTGACAAAGTGACAGATGATACTATATGCGAAAGTACACAAAATATATGTGGAGCTCAGCTTTGCCATTTACTAAGTACAAATTAGTATCACCATAATTAAAGGCCYGCCTGTTGATTGCTGCCATAAATTTATCTGGCTAATATGTTTTACTTAAATATGCTTAAAGYCAGCATAAATAAATTAATGTATTCATTACTTAATTTAAT